AAAAAGGGGAAAAAAAAGGGGAAAAAAAAGGAAAAAAAGGAAAAAAAAGGAAAAAGGAAAAAAAAAAGGAAAAAGGAAAAAAAAAAGGAAAAAGGAAAAAAAAAAGGAAAAAGGAAAAAAAAAAGGAAAAAGGAAAAAAAAAAGGAAAAAGGAAAAAAAAAAGGAAAAAGGAAAAAAAAAAGGAAAAAGGAAAAAAAAAAGGAAAAAGGAAAAAAAAAGGAAAAAGGAAAAGACCAACCCAAAACTAAAAACCCGCCAAAGTAATAGAAAAACAAGCATTCTTACCATGTTGGCTATTTAGAGTTGCAATTAATGCTTTCAACAGGGAGAATCTACATCCTTTCATGAAGAGAAAGTACTGTATGTATTTTAGAAATACAAATAATTGGCCAAGGACACGAAGAAAGTCTATGAAAGGTCGAGGAAATAGGGAACTGAAGCCATATTCCAAGTGCCAGTCTGTCTGCTGAGCAAAACTTAGGAGGAGGCCTGTAGTTCAGAAGTTTCCTCTGAAGACCCCCCACCGGGCAGAACAAACAGCCCTGAATTGTGCTCAGCAAACTTTTTTCTTCTAATATATGCATAGGTCAAGGTTCAGCATGATTCAGTAGATGCACACAGCTCTACTCTTCAATAGACATTTGTTAAATTAAGTTGCTCATCTGAAAGAATAATTTCCATGAGCACCATCCTGTCATATTTTTGACCAGCTGATACCTTTGAGTCCACTAAGGGCAGAAAACATCTCACCAAGAAGCTTACTTCTGCAAAGTCATAAGCATGGCAGTTTAAGATGTGGGTGACTTGGATTTGGGTGACACAAGGATTTGGTATTTCTTTAATAACTACCACAGCAACCCCCTAAGTTCCCTGACTACAAAGGCATAGTATTTTGGTGTCCCACTTGGCTTTGTAAAAAAAGACACTCGTGAACTATGCTAATATATTACAGAAATTGAAAGAATATCATTCACATGCTGAATTCACACTGTGGGATTGGCTTTTCTTCTTCCTCACACAGATTTGGTTTTTAACAACTTTTATATTCATTAAACAGCTAGCAGTAATTGCATTTACTTCTCCCTCTTAAAATTCTGCATCAGGTATCTTATTAGAGATTTTTAATAGCACAATGCTTATATGCAGAAGCAATTTTAGACTAAGCAGTATATTAGGAAAAAACCCAGGCAACTTTCCAGAGCTACATGACATACAAGGGCTTATACACCCAAAAGCTCATCTTCTCCAACTGTGCTAGTCAACCTAGTACTAGATATTACAAAGACTATGTTCTTACTCTCAGCCACGGCAGCACTGCACCAGAGTATTTCAACACTGCTTTTGTATACTCACTGGTCACACAAAATAGTGGTATTTATGTTAAAAAACCTTCTGAAACATACTTGTATGTAAAAAGTATTAGTACAGATGCAACAGGGAGTGGATAAAAGCACAGACTGGTGTTTCTGAAGTGGAAACTAACATTATGTGCTACAAGCTCCGACTGGCTGCTGGGAAGAGAGAATAAAAAATGCCAGCAGCTTCTTTAAAAGCAGTGTCAGAGTGGCCGAGTTTATTCTGGTACTGCACACAGCACAGCTTGATGGTGCTCCTTGTACTGCTGGCAAGGTGCCCCCTTTTATACAGCCTGCCACGTACTGCACAGCGAACAGTAGTCCTCTCAAAGCGAGGAATGCTGTAATTTAGAAGTGCATTTACTAGGAAAGAATGTTTGAAGGGGAAAAGCAGTCCTCTATTAAAAAAAATAAAGCAAGCATTTTTTGGTTTTCAGGAGCAATGATTCATTTGGAATCCAAATCAGCTCAAACAGAAAGATATTTCTACCAGTGGTTCTGTAGAAGTTTAGGGATCCAACATTAATAACGTGATCCTTCTAAAGCAGCCTGGCTTGGGGCTTCGGGATTTTGAGGGTGGCTTTTACCTGCTACTACAGATTTAGGTGTCAATTTCTCTTGAAAAGTATATACATCTTAATCTGCACATGGAGTAATGCAACAAGGGGAACCATGAGAAGGGGGAATCTCCCTCCACCTTCAGAGCTGTTCCTACCCTCAATAAATTATCTCCACTAACTTCACAATGTGCTATGCCCCATTTACATGTTTCTTTGCAATTTTAAGTCCATATCTGACTGTGGCATCTGCAGTAGTCTCAAGGCATAACACTTCCCACTAATGAAAAAAATCAGAACTACATAGTTGGGGTTTTTTTACTAAGGATCATCTATTTAAATAGGGGACAATTATGCATCTCAATTTCAACTAGTGACCTGGTCACCTTTTCTAATTCGTATTATTAGCACATCAAGTTTGACAGAAATCCATGAGGATTAACAAGTGTCTTCAGTAAATGTCTCAGAGTGTCTGTGTGTCACAGAGTACAAACCCCAAGACTGAATCAATGCTTTTAAAATATGCAGTCACAGATAACCAAGACAGATAAGACATGGGTAGACTTTAAAATTAAAAACAAACCCTAAAAATTAAATGCAACACGTCAAACAGGAAGACGTATGTTCCTGAAGTCATTCTGGAGGGGGCCTGTGCAGTTAGTTTTAAGGAGCAAACATGTAAGAGCTCACCAGACCATTTCCAAAGGACTCCCACTACCTTGTGCACGCTCTGACGAGTAAGGCGACCTGCACGCTGCTGACGGTGCAAGGCTGTTTTCAGCATATAGTAATAAGCATTTTCAACTTGCCACTACTTGTAACAAGCATGGCTTTAACGATCAGACCTCAACTACAGTGGTTTTCTAGTTTCCTGAGTTATAATAATTCCTAAATCAATCAATTTTTGTGATCCAGTGTTTTGTAGCACTTTTAATTTAGCTATGAATTTCTTTAAAAAGATAAAACCCTTAAGCTACTAGCCATTCAAATTTCAGGTTTTTGGTTCAAAGAAGCTGAAAGAATACTAGTTTTCTTTTAAAGCAGTAACTACTTTTGAACATTTAAACAAGGAAATTCTCTAAAGTTATCAACTGGCTTTTTTTGCACTGTTCTCACAGAATCACAGCAGTTCATCAGTGCCTAGTTTTAAGCAAGTGCCAAAGTTCAGAGGTAGGGGTGAGCTATCCAGGCGGCCTTTTCCACTGTTTGTTAGTGTAAGCAGAAGCCCATGTAAGCAGAACCACGTGCTGCACTAACATTTTAGTACATTAGTTACACTAGACAAGCCATGCTAAGCAGAAAAGGGCACTTCCATCTTGGCTACCACTAACATTTAGAATTACTTTCTATTTCAGCAGACTGCTTGCTTTGTTATATGAGAGCTTAGTTTGCTTTAGGCTATTCTCTTTCTTCTAGAGAGACTGAGAATAGAACAGTTATGCAAAAATCCTTATTTGCCCGACATTTAGAGATCAAGCAGTACAGTCCCAGAACAGACTTCCTCGGAGTGAGTATACCTTTGGAAGACGTTCCCCTTACCTCTTAGAGACTCTGTAATGTGCTGTGGTCAGTTTCCCAGTCTCAGGGTCATGAACAGTAGCACGGCTCAGCTACAAAAAGAGAAAGGACAAGGGCTTACCCACCTAGTAGGCTGCTTTTTTTGCCAAGCCACAGGTGTTTGAAAGGGTTCCGATTGGTCTGGATGGTATGCAATGCTCTTAAATTAGCAATGTTAGAAGGGCAACAGAAGCTGTAGCTGCCATGTCCAAATCAAAACAAATTGGTTGGAAAAATTTGGTTAGATTGTCCTTTCACTTTTTTCCTCCCTTTTTATTTTTTCCTTTTTTTTTTTTGTTTGTTTTCAACTAGAGACTTTCTGCAAGTAATTTATGGTGCTGAGTTTCACAGACAATTCCTCTTCACCAGAAGTTTAACTCCTTCCAGAATTTTGATTTAATGCTGATGGAATGTGTGGCCAATCTTTAATCACCACTATTAAAAATGGGGAGGGGAAGGGGTGCCGAGAGGGAGAAAGGATGGGTGGGGGGCAAATGTCTTCTTTTAGAGCAAGCCAATTTTGGAAAATGTTGGCTAAAAATCAAGACTCATAGTACTTAACAGACAGGCTGGAAATAACCAGGAGCTGAGTGAAAACAAGCTTGTGTTCTGCCAGATTTGCATCAGGCAGGAGGTAAAAGAGCCCAGACAGGAGCACAGGATTATCTCTGACAATGAAATGCTGCTGTGTGACTAATGAACCACTGTTTTGATTGCCACCCTAGCTGTTGTGCACAGTAAGGCCTCAAAGCACACCTTACACCCGTACAGACACTTTAAGTGGTCAGCTAGATTTTACAAGGAAAGGGAGAAAAAATTTTGATTGGCGAGAAAAGCAAGGGGAAGGGAATATTAAAAAAAAACAAAACCAAAACCCCACAAAAACCAAAACCAAACAAAACCAATCAAAACCTGTATTCTGCTGAAGGTTTTGTAGCATCATGTACTTTTTAATACTGATTGTAGAGACCTGCTTCTTGTACAGATCATCATTTGAGAACATGCACCGAGAAGGTGACCAAGAAAAAGAAGAAATCAAAATACGCTCCCAGAACTTCTAGCTGAAGGAAAAGACTGAGAAACTCAGCAGGACCAGCCTGTTACAAATCTGCATGTAATAAAGTGGTGGACCTCAAAGCCAAAGTTGTCTTTTTAGACCACCTCTTTTTTCCCCATAATGAGCAGAATCTACTCACTCATTACAGGCCCAAAACATCTGGCAGAGCTCTCTTACCTTTTGCTAATTCTGTAATGTGCCGTCTCCAAGGCTCCTGTTATGGGGTTTGAAATGGTGGCTCGCCTCAGCTGTGAAGCGAACCATCAGAATAGTTGCATTACAAAGCACATACTGCATCACAGCAATCCGACCATTCAGAAGCCTAAGGGGAAATGTCACGCAAGCCGCCACACAAGTCACCCAGTCACCTTTTGCAGTGGGTTTTCTTTTATGGAAGGGGTGGAAATTCATGCCCCAGTGATGGGGAAGGAGGGAGGATCTCCAGCTTTACTAAAAGAGAGGTGTGTTTTGTTTGGTTTATTTTTTCTTTTAAACAGAGCATTAGAGAATATCAAGTTTTCTGGAAGTGATGTTTCCATTTCTGTAGCAAGAAGAACAGTCGCCTGAATAAAGTAAACTAGAAGCTTTCATTTCCTTCATATTGCTGGAAGTGGTACAATATTATGGCATGTGTACAATTGGGCCTTTGTTAGCACTCTGTCTTGCACATGTAAGATGAGTTTTACAGTTAAATTGAATCCAGGCAACACTGTGATCTTGTATAAGCGAAAGATGAACCTTTTTTAGTCTTTCTACACCAAAAGCAGCACTGAACTCCTTTAACACTAGCTGCTAACATAAAGTAATGGCTTAGTGCATAGACGCATTTACATTGTATTCCTAAGTTAGAGGGAGCGAGAACTCTCGGTTCAAGGCCCTCCTTTCCCAGTGCTGCATTGACTTGACACCATCCCACCTACATAACACTCTGATTCAGAACCTTATGTGTGACTTTTAACTTGGTTCATATAGTATCAGACACTCTCTGTCATTCGTAACTGGAAGGGTTCAGCTGCGGAGCCCAAATTTTGGAAGAGACACAAAATGGCATACCAAGTCCCAAATAATTAAAAGTATATCTAGAAGTTAAAATACAGGAAATAAATCAAGGCTTCTCCATGCCTACTAACAAGAAAAGGTACTGGGAACTTTTAATATAGAATCACAGATTGGTCTGGGTTGGAAAGGACCTTTAAAGACCATCTAGTTCCAACCCCCTGCCATGCGCAGGGACATGTCCCACTAGACAAGGTTGCTCAACCTGCTGTCTCTCCTCTCATCCCATGCAGACATATGTAAGAATCAAATCTCCAGTGAGACTCCCAAAGCTGAATAATAAGGCTTCATCCTGCCAGCTTATGCCACCAGCATAGCAGAAGGCTGGGCACAGATCAGACAGCACTGTCTTCTGAGAGGCAGCAATGGTAACATCCTTCGCATTGGGAATAAGATGACCTTTTGGTCTCAAAAAACACAGTTCTCTTGCTACACTTGTTACTGAGCTTTGCAAGGCCTCAGCCATAGAAAATAAGTGGAACACTAACTGCATGCAGACGCTTCTACATTAATGAACTATGAATCTCCACATCTTTACCATGAGCCAAATATTTTTCAGGAAAATAATTATCTCAGCAAGTTCAGAAGTTAAACCCACCAAATTCACAGGTTTTTATTTTCAATGCTAAGACTTATTTCTACTCCACAAAGCAGTGATTCGGTCATATTCCACAGATGTAATGCCAGAGCTTTTGCAGCTCTGACAGGAGATCAGGAAGAGATGTTTTACAGGTATCTGGAGAGAACTGCTTGTACTTCTTGCTTATAGTTAAGAATGTTACCTCAGAAATACAATGCATCAGCCTTTAGGAAGCTTGAAAATCACCTTCAGGCTACCTAGTACTCAGTGAAGTGACCAAGGACAGCCTCATCTTTGATGCGCTCATGTACAACCAACAACTGGTTTACTTTGCTGCAGAACAAGCTAAGAATTTGTCCCGTACTTAATGCACTTATCCCCTTAATCTCCATTTGCCCAGCTCTCTCTAGCCAAAAAGCGATTTAGGCTAAAAACAAATAAAAGCCCAGGAAAAAAGTATTTCTACAAGTTTCATCCTTATTTTAGAAGGCACTGGTAATGGATCGAAAAAATAAATTCAACTAACTACATTTTTAACACACATCTTGAGATGCGGAGTCACACCAACTGGATACAGACGGCAACTCCATCAGTTTGCTGTTTGTCTTGGACACTCCTGTTTACTCTTGACAGTTGAGCTGCCCTGGTTTATTCTGCATTCAGAAGTAAGAACCTTGGGATCCAGTTTCTCAAATAGAATTTGATGGGCTGGCATTGCAATGAAGCAGCTGAGTGCGACTGACTAAGTACTACCCTCTGGAAGCTCTTTCATCTGCAGTCAACTTCAAAGCCTGGGAGACAGAAGTCAGTTTTATACCAAACAGAAGATACAACCATTCATTCTTCTCTATACAATAATGTGGCATTCCGGGACCAAAGGAATGGCTGCCCTTCCCTCGACAGCACTCTTCTCCAAGTCACAACTTCGGCAAATACAGATTTAACAAAAAACAAAAAACAGCAAACCAAACAAAAATCAGATGACAGGTATACTTCAAGGCAACCTAGCTGCAGTGCTTTTGTTTTCTGCTGTAGAACGTTCTCCTCCTTATCTGAAAGAGCACACATTGAAATTGTGTCTGCTGGAAGAGTCTGACAATCCTGTGCTGCTGTTACCTGCTGTCTTAATTACTCAATTTCCAACTTCCCCACTGTCTCCTTCAAAGAATGTGTCACCAAGAGCTACAAGGTGAGAAAAGCAATGTGTGAGCACACTGCACACACATCTAAATTCAAGAGGAGACAGAATCACACACACTTACATAGAAAATTACACAGGAAATTTAAGATTTCAAAAGGCAAAGAAGTGTAAAGCATTTACCCTTGGCTTTGCCAGTTCCTTCACAGTTTCGATCTCTTCATCAGAGATGATGTCAAGGAAGCGAACAATTCGAGGTTTGTCCCACTCATCTTCCTGTTTGACAGGGCCCAGAATGTATCTAGGATTCCTGTTTCCATCATAGTAGCGGCAGAAGAGTCTTTTTTGTCTCCGAGGAGTCTAAAAGCAAGATGAAACAAGACCATCAGAGAACTTCCATATAACATTAATACCTCTAAGAAACAGAAGATGTCCTGATAACAAGAGACAAGAACAATTCACTTTTCCTACCTTAATGTTGATCTTAAAGAGATGCTTTAAGTTTGAGGAAGTAGTACTTTCAGCACATTAATGTTACTCTACAATACTGCAATGAGTAGTACTTTACACAGTCCTATTAAAGATGTTTCTTTTTGCTAGAACACCACACTCATTCAATTCCACATGTAAATGTAGACTTCCAGCATCCTTATTTAATTAATTACAATTATGTAGTGCATCCAAGTTAGCCAGCAGTGCCTGTGGCAATATTAATTTTTGTCTACTGAACAGAATGAACAGGGAAGAAATCCAACACACACTAATCCTCAGTTATATACACTCAGCCAACTGCTATAACAACTTCCTTGCTTTCATGCCACATACAAATTCTTGACATTGTTTGGTTACAGTTGGTTTCATACATTTGGAAACAGTCTACTCCACTTTACCATTTTGAGACCCTCCCCACGGCACAGCATTTCGTACTTCCTTCTCTCAGGCAGGTAATCCTTTTTCTTAACCTCAGTTTCCTTCTCCATCTGTTCTTCTGAATTTGTACTGGACTTATTTGCTTCCTTTTCTTTTGCCATTATATATTCAAAATATTTCATGTTCCCATTTGCTCTCTGATGTTCAGGATCTATTGACAAAGAAACAGACAAATATCACTGGCAAGTTTCCAACTTGAAGAAGTATCCAGAAGAGGCTTTTTACAAAAAGAAAGCAGATGCACACTACTGCTTCTCAAATGGAAATCATAAACATCTACTTTGGTTTGAGAGCATTCACAGGATAGCTAAAACACTGAGCTAAGCTGGAAGCAATGCTAGCCTGCAGCACAAAATGAGCTTTCTGAGCTAAACGCAACACATTCACAGTTCAGAAACTGCCTACTGCAAGGTCAGGATCCTCAGCGAACACAGGGGTCCAAACACTAAGAAAAAGGGTTCGGCCACTCCCACCAATCTCACCAGCGAGGGACAGACAAGAGAACAGGACAGCAAAAAAGCTGGGACAGCATGACTAAAAACTTCCCTGATGAGAATTAAGTTTCTGGTGATGAAGCTTTTAAGAACAACTAAACTTAGAGAATTAGCTTCATTTCATTAATAAATGGTTCTCACTAGCCTCTGCTATAATAAGTTTTGTTCTGAACTTCCCACACCATCCTTTAAACAGTCAACTGGAGTACTTAGAAAAACATAAATGCTTTTCATAGTTCAAAACCCAGAATCTCAACTTGCTGTATTGCGTTCTGTATTTCTTATTTTCCCAAGCTTTTCATCTCAAGTATGCCTAATTCGCATTTAAATAATCTGCAGAGATCTTTGTAACACCAATTTAGTTCCAATTTCATTAATTCTGTTCTTACCTGTACCTAAGGGGAAGTAATGTCAACATCAGAAAGTAAGATACAGTAAGAGAACCAAATTTCAGGCAGTAGTGACTAAGACAGTTAAGTGGTTAGAAGTCAAAAGTGAAAGAAGGCAGAAAATATTTCAATAAAAAGGAGTGATCCTTAAGCAATGCACTTTCTGACATAGTAGAGACTGTAACTGTCCATCTAAAAATACAGTAGCAAAATATGATTTATGGTAACACAAGTCTTATTTTACTGAAAACTACACATCAAGATGTTAATGGTAATGTCAGTAATAATCCATTTAAAAAACCCACATACAAGTCAGAATACAGGCAAGACCACACTCATCAGTACAAAACCATAACTAGCACCTGCTCAAACACAGAGCTGTATCGTGGTGGTGAGCTGCAGACCTTTTACATACCCAGTTCCAGAAGGCGTCTGGTGAGCATCATGGCTTTGCTCAGATCCCCCTGCTGATAAACAGCATAACTCAGGTAGTCCAGAATGTAGACTTTATCTGCAGAAGACACTTCTCCTTCATCCAGCTGTTTCAGAGCTTGTTCCATCCACAGCTCAGTGTGGTAGTAATCAGCTTCAGTATAGGCAATCTTTCCCAGCTCAAAGCAATCTTCAGCTGTTAAAAAGGACTTGTGCTTCACACCTGTATTTAAAACAGAACAAACTATTTACACAAATTCCAAACCAGTCTTCAGAGTAACATTCAGTTATTTCTTATTCTTTACAGCACAGTTTATTTCTGTTCTTCAACATCTCTCTTCTGTGGTGGCTATTTATTGAAGACTCAGTTTAAACACCTAAAGCGTGTAAACACTTGGCAGAACACAGAAGCGATTAGATGCAGTTTTCCATTGCCAGAATGCCAGCAACTGGCTAAATGTCTTTACTATTAGTGAAAAATTATGTAAGATAACCCTTCCTTCTTCAGGACACCAAACACTTCAAGCAACAGCAATAATAAGCCAATTACAAAGCTTCAGAAATCTGTTTTCAAAGACTTTGCATTATCACTTTCAAAATGTTACTGAAGCACATCTTGTTAGCAACAACTTAGTGGGGAAGGAAAAAGAAAACATCACTCAGTAAATTCCCAGCTGCTCAAGATTTTTGGAGTCAGTCATTTTTAGAAACATTTGAAGAGACCTCTGAAAGATTAAAGCACCAGTGAGCAAATTACAGATTCCTATTTTTGCCACTGTAAATTAAGGCCCAATGAAAACCCAAATTTAATTTTGCAAAAAGGAAATACGATTTGCTGGTTTTACAGCTAAAATTACATTCATGATTACATCTTAATACATCTTGAATTTCTAATAGCAGCTCCCACAGTTGCATTCAAACAAGAAAATTCTTCTGTTGAACACATGCCTTAAGAGATTAAATAGCTGAAGAGACAGCCCATGAAATGCAGTATCCCACAGAACAACTTTGGATTTGCTAATTAAACACCTTGTGGCCCATCCTGTGATGGCCACTGGTTTCAGTTTTCTAAGCCCAAAGCTGCAAACTCTAAAATAACACAGAGATTAGGGAACTGGGTGTGGTGGTGGTGGAGTGCTCTCAGAGAGATCCTCCTGAATGAGTAACAGTTTGCAGGGCCATAGCTGGTACATGTAGAAGCAACACAACATCCACACATGAAAAGACAACTCTTACAATGGTGCTTAAGACATCATCAAATATGGTTGATAGCTAATATAAAGAAACAGCACACCCTGTAATGCAAGAAAGAGGACTAATAAGCCATATGATAGTAGTTAAGATAGTAGCTGAGATTCAAAACTTGGCAACCTGGCAAAAATTCCCTGGGAAGAAAAACAAGGAGCACAGATGACTTCATGGGATGTTCGTCTCTGGAGCTCTGGAAAGACTAACCTATTCCTTTTTACACTCTAGAACTTTAAGGTTCTACTATTACACTTTATTTCATACGGTCTAAACAGTTTATTGCCTCAAAAGAAGCAATAAGCTACAGTCCACCCAAAGCACTTCATCTTGTATTTTTGTGCTGTTTTAAGAAACCAGTAACAAACTGCTTATTGTGTTAGAATGAATCTGTATGTCTTTGAGACTGTCTTGAACTAAACCCAAAAGCAAAGTTATAAGTCATAACATATAAAGCAATTTCCCCTTAATTTTATTAGGCATCTGACCACAATGAGTGCTTGCAAAAACACAGACGGATTGTACAGAGTTGATTTTTTGCCAGTTGGCACAGCACTATTTTTAAGCAGGGGAAACAAGGAAAACACAGCATAGAGTTTTCTAACAAGAAAGAAGCATGTTTTCTTTTGCATACAAACCCAATAAAGATTTACTCAGGTAATGCGACATAAGCTCAAGTCTGTATGTGCTGTCTTTTGTTTTTCAGTTTATACACTTCATGAAGTTTAAGCTCAAAGAAACTTCTGTCACTCTGACAGGTCCATCTCACCAGAGGGAAAG